AGCCAGTGGCTGTAATAAAACTAGGTGGTTGGAAAGGTACTGTAGTAAACGTTTCTGTGTTATAATATTTAATATAAAATATCCATAAGCCTTGGAATGAGAAAAACATGGATGGAAATAATGTTTACATACTTTGGATATGTGGTTACAGGCCGAGTAATGTTTCACTGTGTAGCGTTATTACTGTTTTCTATCACCAGAGCATCTTCTGATATTTCTTGAAGCCCATAATGAAAATTTACTGCAAGTTCAGAACAGTCCTGGCTTTTAGATTTATCCTCCTAGGCATGGGGAAGGTTTGACTGCTGTGCACTTTATGCACGTGAAACTTTTAGGTAAGACAACACCAAAGGTTATGGTTCTGCTCAGTTTATCCAGCGGGGAGAAAATTATTCTGTCTGCAGGCCACCAGGAAAAAGTTGCCGTGCCCACACCACTTAACGGGGAGTCGGTTTCCTTGCTGACCCTTTTCCCTGGGGTAGGAGCGGGGCCCGGGGACAGCACGAAGGCAAGCGTTCCTTCATTTCATGTTTCTCTACTTTCTTACATTATTTCTCCTTCAGGACTTTTACGTCCTAGTTCTTAGTTTGAGGATTGAGTCTTTTATTTTTTTTATGAGCAGAATATATTTAGTGAGGGAAAGAAAGCAGCGGTCCGAGAAGGGGACAGGAGGGGAGCCCGAGCGGGTTATCCCCTGAGGATTGAGTCTCAATGTAGTAAAATATGATTCTAATTCAAATTACATACATTTTGTAGTATCAAATATTTGGTATTTTTCTCTGGTTAAAGGGAAAAAATATCTGGAAATTTCCAACAGAAGGTAGTTATTGTTCAAAGAAGCTCAAGGTTTGTTCTGTTGAGTATCTAATAATGAAAATATTATGTATGAAAGGAGACTACTCTTCAAAAAATGTTTGGGATTTTTTTTTTCAAGCATATACAAAGCTAGAAGGTGGTATAATAAACTGCTGTAGACTCTATGTGTATCTGGACAGTTCCACCAGGCTGCCCGTCAAATTTTACCACTTTACTTGCATTGATTAACATATAGCACATGTCGCACACGTCGTTGCATCTCTCCATTTCAGTTTGTATCACGCAAATGTGAGGGAGAACTCCCCTGTCGAGAGCGTGTGCCACGTCTGCTTAACGCAGTGACGGTCTCTGATAGCAGGCAGTGGGTGTTAGTTCTAACCCTTCTGTCTGATAATCATTTTTTAAAGGGTAATTTAATTCAGCATGGAGAGCAGACCTAGGAATTGTGATAATGTGATTGGTTAATTTGTCTCTTAATCTCTTGTAATCTAGATTTAAGATTTCCTTTTTTGTTGTTCTTGTTCTTTGCAGCAGCTCTTTTTTTCCCTAGGGGAAAAGGCTCATTTGGCAGTGGCTGCCAGGCTTCTGTCTCACATCTGCTTTACACTTAAAGTGTTTAAAAAGGTCAAAGAAGTATTGTGTGTGGGCACTGAATTAGAAATAGATTTGAACTATTTATTGTAAAGTGACAATAATAAGTCCAGTATGTGATAATATGTGAAGGCATGATTTTTATGAAAGACATAATTTCAAAACAAAAGTAAAAATATGGGCGATGCAGCCTTGTTTCACATTTCTGCAAACCTGTTTTATATCTAGCGTAATAGAAGGTAGCTACGTCTTACGTCCGCTTCGTCTTTGTCTGCTGCAGTACAGTGTTTTGGTTGGAGTACAGTAAGTGAAAGTGTGGCCTCACGTAGACACTGGTGTGGTTGCAAAGCATGTTGAACGTCACAGTGCAGTAAAAGACAGCACGTTGCTCCTCCTCGGCACCGTCCTCCCTTCACACGCATTCGCCGCTCTTCCTGCCTCCTTCTGAGCCAGGTCTGGAGGTCCTTTTGCATGAGTTAGCCTGCTGTGGCTGTCCCCGTGTCCTCAGGTGATTCCAAATGCTTATTTCCATAGTCATTTTGACTTTGGGGATGAGCCAGAAGTCACGTGGTGCTGGATGCCCTGAACACGGTGGCCACGGACGCGCCTCACGTCTTCTCAAGCCTGCCTTTGTTTTGCATGGCACCTGGCGGGGGCACTCACTGTATTTTTGATTAGTGTATTTTGCTTCAGAAAGTGGAAGAACAGTGGGATAAGTGTGTTTGAAATGATGGGGATTTTGAGGAAGATTGATAGCAGTGTATCTTCTTTTTCTTCTTTCTTTCTTTTTTTTTTTTGTCTTTTTGAGACAGGGTCTTGCTATGTAGTTCAGGATGGTCTTCAACTCCCTATATAGCCCCGACTGGCCTTGAACTTGCAGTAAACCTGCCTTTTGCCTCCCGAGTGCTGTGCACCACACCAATGTATGTTTCACTTTAGTATTTTGTAACATTTTAATAATTACTATTTATTTTGACCACCCCTTTTAAAAAATTAGAAAAGAAAAGCAGTTCAGTAGGAAGTACTCTGTGCAGCGACAGTGCATTCCTCCTTGATGCCACCCCGGAGTTTCCTGTGGTAGTTTCTCAAAGGTCAGTTGAATGTGTAGTTGGAAAGCTCTCCCATGGGCCCTTCCTGCTCGGTGGCACTCAGGCCCGTCTCTCTGGTTCTTTGGATGCCTTCGCCCTGCATAGTGTAATAAAGTGCATTGGTCGTCCGAAAGGGGCTGCCTGGCTGAATCGCGTGGACCTTCTGAATGCTGACACATTTCACTGTGACATATTTTCTGTGTCACACGTTCTTATCACCACCCGCCCCCCATCTCCTCAGTGAAGTCTTAGCAAGAAAGAAAGCTGTCAAACAGTTCATGTGGATGGATACAAGTTTTCCAAAACCCCAGTTTTTCCCCAAGTGCTCCAATGTCATCGTTAGCAGTGAATAGCGCCATGGGATGAGCTTGCCTCATTAACTTTCGACCTAATCCTGGCCAAATACCTAAGACCAAGCAAACACAGTTGTTAAGTGCAAATGGCATTTCTTGTAAAGAAGCAGCCTGTTCCGCTTGCATGCCAGGTAACTCACACGTGCTTGTTTTTCTTTTTCTAAACAAGGAATCAGCACCCTGGTGTCCTCCCAACGTGGTTAAGTGAGGCATTGCTTGCTTGTTTGCTTTGATTTGAGGATCACTGTGAGCTCATGGTTTTAAACTCAGTGGCTGTGCTTTGGTTTACTGCCGCGAATAAGGACACACCTGCTTTGCCTTACTTCGGCTGCCTGGTCCCCTTCAGATGGCACCTGAGTTCTTTGTGCCCAACTCCATTGCCTTTGATAACAGCTTCTCTGCTTTCCTGATTGATGAGATGCCCTGGGCCTCACATGGACTGAGCAAAAACCAGATACTTCTCTGGGGGGATTTGGGACAAATGGGTCTTTAGATAGCACAGTCTGAGCACCAGCCTGCTTGTTTTGCATTGATGGGTGGTTATTTCCACACTCTTTTGGTGGATAAGGTTGAAAGTATGTGTATTTTAAAAGCAAAATAAATGAATTCACACTAATACTTTCCCATCAAGTTCAGGATCTGCCGATTTAGTTGTGGGTGATACCCATCTATGACTTGTTCTATCTCATATTAGCAGATGACAGCTTCAGCACACTCTGAGTATTGCCACCGATGATGTGATTATGGAAAACAGTTTGTTTTGCAATTTAAAAAGTGAAAATAAAAATATTATCACAGTTTGCCTAGCCAAATTGGTTATCTTAACAGAGCCTAATTATTGGTGTTTGCTGTATATTTTAAGACTGTTTTCCTATTTCTTAGAATAACAAATTGGCAGATATTTCGACTGAATTGAATATGGATTTTCTGACAGATCCAGTCCCGTTGCGCATTTCCCGTATGGGGAACAAGTACTTAATCTAGGAGCTTAGTGGATGACAGTCAGTAACGGTCGGAGTTTTCCTGTTTTATTTTTAACAATCAAAGTGGCTTCTTCTGTGTTTATCAATATTTTATTCAGTGGCCTTCCCTTACCTGTAGTTTTACTCTGTGAGCTTTCAGTTTCCTGAAGTTGGCTGCAGTCTCAAAATATTAAGTGGAAAGTTCCAAAAATTAGTGATAAATTTTAAATTACATTCTGAATAGCATGACTAAATCCAGGCCTGTAGCGTCCTGCTGGCCCGCATGCGCACGCTGCATGCACTGCGCTGCCCTGTTGTCTGTCCCATAGGAGGCGTCTCGCGTATCACAGAGCTAGTGTTCACGTAACCCTTATTTTACTCAATAGTGGCCCCAGGCTGACTCCAAGTGTACTGACTCGGGATATGCCAAAGCCGAGTCATGAATTATTTCCCGTAAGTGAGAAGGTGAGGGAGGCATCGCAACTGAATAAGGAAGGAAACCCAAGTCCTGTGTGAGGTTGCTGCTTTGGGAAATTGTTCATTTCTTACTGAGCCTAATTTATAAATTAAACTTCATCCCAGGTATGCACATATAGGAAAAGCACATAGTTACGTGTAGGACTTGTACTGGCTTGTGTTTTTTGGTATCCACTGGAAGTTCTGGAACGTCTCCCAAGGAGAAAGTAGGACTGCTGGATAAGTTCGTTACCATATCTACTGCCTTTCTGGTGCCAGAAGAACCCCAAAAACCTTCTTAGAGGACAAGGAATCCTATGTATAAAGCATCATCCTTTCTGTCATTTAAGTGAAAATTCTGTGAATGGATGAATTCCTTTTCTTTTTAAGAACAGCAGAAGTTTGCCATGACACTTTCGTTTTTCTCCTATAGTCTGGAGATTGCCCTGGGAGAAGATGTTAATGATAAAAGGTGCGCTTTCTTGTGTGCTTTTCAGGGCGGGGATCAGCCCAGGACCTTGCAGTACTGGGCTGTATGCCTCGGCTGTATCTCTGCGCCCATCTGCAGCCTCATGGAAGATATTTTCGAAGCATTTACTTTAGATCTGCAGACATGGGATCTGGTGGTCAGGAAAATCATATAACTAAGAAAAACTGAATTAACAATCATTCAGTTGAACACTAACTTCTCTTTGGAATATTTAGTGATTTTGCTTTTCTGCTCTCCCTTTGAGGTTCAAAAAGAAATCATGACTGAGTCTGCCTCGAGCACGAGCGGCCAGGAGTTCGACGTGTTCAGCGTCATGGACTGGAAAGACGGCGTGGGCACGTTACCTGGAAGTGACCTAAAGGTGAGCCGTCCTTGGTATGCACAGCCACTGGTGTACCTGTGCGTGCGCACCTGGGTGTTTATTTTACAGTGAATACACACATGGCATAAGACTCAAAAGCGTGGAATGTACTGTTTCAGTTTTTATGTCATGCTTCGGCATCTGTCCTAAACTCACACAGTTTGAGGTGCTGGTGACCTAGCAGAAACTTCTGTCACTTGGGCTAGGAGATGAGATCCGTAGCTCGTGTTTACTTTGCAGATTGATCTTTAGGACTGTTTTAGTTTGGACTCAATACCCTGGCCACTGAAGGCCGAAGTGGCTGTCTCAGGGGTCCTAGCTTCTTGGGCTTTTGTAGTATTGACTTTGTAACTGAGTAACCCTGTTCTCTGTGTCCTGGTGTTCTCATTTAAAAACTCAATAAAATACTGTTAAATTACATAAAATAATATTAAATAAATAATATTGAATAAATAGGACTGTTTGTCCCCTCCCCTTATTTACAGTATAAACAGTAGATTTTTCTACAGGTACAGGCTAAGAAGCAGGTGATTCCTCAAAGTCTGACTGCCTGTGGGTTGTTGATGGGAGCTCTCTGCAGCAGCTTCAGCCTGTGGCTTTCCTAGGTGATTGTCCCGGACCCTGTCCGAGCCCACCAACACTGTGCTGGGCCACCTCTGCTGCCCCAAGAGTCATGGTTGAGCAAGCAGCTGTCTGGGGACACCACCACCCCCCTTCTCATGTGTAATGTGCTTTTTTCCTCTGATCCTGTCCCCGAGACCCTGGACCTATCTGTGGCCTTTAGACTTTGAATTTGTTCTTGGTCACTCAGGTATTTGAACTTCTCATGTCCCTACTAGGCTGGCAGGTTTCCTTTTGAATGCTCGATTGGTGCTGCTTTGAATAGAAATTTCTTCCCAGTAGTACAGGTTTCTCAGAATCTAATTCCTCTTGGTGGCTATGACAGGTGTCATATCCAAGCCTGCTGTTACTATTCCCCGGTGGTGTGGTTTGGAAAAACCCCTGATTTTAGCTAGTTTAAGTTTAATTAAGTGAAGGACACTGACATTTGAGTTCAGAGTTAAAAAGAAAATGCTGTGATGAAGTTCCATGAAATCTACAGAAGGGGTTGAGTTTTCTTGCTGCGAGCCAAAACCGATAGGTGAAATTAGTCTTAGTATTCTGTAGCACAGTAGGGTGACTGGAATCTCAAACCATATGCATGTATTTCAGAGTAAAAATGATGAGTCCGAAGCCCCCTAAAACAGAAGAATGATAGATGTGGGAGGGAATGGAAGTGTGTCTTACCCTGATGGGATCACTGTACGTTTATACATGCAGGGAATTATCATAGTGTAGCCCATAAATATGCAGAAGTATTATGTGTCAATTGTAATCATTTTAAAATGAAAGTGGATTTTTAGTGATCTTGACTGACTCAACTTATCTCTTTGAGTCAAATTTCTTGTGCATGGGATGAAGAATTAAATGACTACTGAGGGTTTTACCTGACATTTTCCAAATGTCTGCCTGGATACAATAAGATAGATCTTTGAAAATTTTTGAGACAGAGAAATTGTTTCTCAAACTTTCTAAATTTTGGAAGCTTTATTTGGAATGAGGCTATTAGAATCTATAATAAGAGTTGAGATCATAAAGTGGTTATGCACATTAAAATAAATATAGATGTGTGTTTATATATGTGCTTATAAGAGTATTTTCTGGCTTTGTGATATATTGTGTAAACGCCTTTCTGTTATTTCACTTGTCTTATTTTTCTTGTACATGTTTATTTCCTTTTCCAGTGGCTGTTTCTTTCAATGTCAGGTGCTTGATGGAATGTGTATTTCTGTTGGGATAGCGTTGACTAATATTAAAGTTTCCAACTCTTAAGTCATTTGGATTGTTTTCAGAGGCATGAGTTTTAGGTAATTAAATCATTAATCAGGTAATCAAACCATTAGTAGGCTTCATAATCGGAATTATTTGGTTGGACTTTTTGGTTCATCTAATTACTGGAGTAATTGCCGGGTGTCCAGTTCACTTCATGTTCTGTGCTGTGGACAGTTTAGTACTTCACTTTTAAAAATAATGAAAAATTACTTTTGACATTATAACCCTTTTGATCTGAGATTTAGAAACTGTAAACTAGCCCATTGATTAGATTGCTTAGGGTTTCTAATTCACTTGCTCCTTACATTAAAAAATCTAAGTTACTTAGGAGAGCTGACTGCAAAATTGATTTTTCATGCAATGAAAGTAGTGGAAAGAGCTTTGAATAAACCATGAAACTTATACTCTCATATCATACGTTGCCTATTTTATATTGTACAGGCTTCTAGTTTGTAGTAAGGGTTGTGAACTTTCTAACAACGTGGTAGCCTAAGACAGCCAGCCCAAGTGCCTCCAGCGGACGCAGTTAGCTTGTGCGTAAAGGCCCGCTTTCTGCTGTTGGCCTGGGTTTTCATATGCTTCAGTGTTTGCTGCTTTGAAAGGACTTTGCTCGGTGAAAGCAGATGCGTGCTGGCCATGCTGTGCTGCTACTGCGGCTCCGTGAGCTGTGGCCAGGATCTTTCAGGCTGGAATTGCAGTCGCTTAACTTTCCCACAGGAGGATGTGTGTGAGCGACAGAGATGGACAGAGACAGAAGGAGAGGGCGGGCGGGATTTGGCCCCTTACTTTCTGGCCACATTTCATTCATTCCCCAGACTCCAATCCGTTTTTACCGTTCCGTGGCTGGGACCTCCCGTCCCCTCGCCTGCCCAGGCTAACCAACCCTTAGAGCCTTCCGTAAGCAGGGTGAAGACATTCTGGGTGCAGCAGTAGGGACCTTACTCTCTGATGATACAACCTGCATCGCCTCTGAGCCCTTTTGTGGAGCAGTTCTCTGTGTTGCCTGTCATGGACAGCTTGCGTGGGAGCCCAGAGAGGCTGACTCATTAGAGCTGGGTCTCCAGCCCTGGCTCACCTGGGGTTCAGAGGGTTCTTTCAGCACTGCTTTCCTGCTGTCTGAAGACAGAGAACATTTTCCTGCCAACAGATACAGCAAAGTGTCCCAGGGACTTAGGTGGTGAAAGTGTGTTTCAGGCGCAGCAGTCAGGGCGGCTTTGAAAAGCTGGTATCATCTGGGCTTCAGGAGGGGAAATAGGCAGCAGATGCCAGGAGGGCCACCAGGGCAGCAGTGGGCAGCGGGCTTCCAGGAGAGGAAGGGCTTTGAGCATAGCAGCAGGGTGCAGGGCTGCTCGGAAAGCAGAGTAGTCTGCACCAGGCGTCCCTGCCTGATTTGGCCGGCTTTGGCAGCTTCACCACTGCCTCATTTGTTCTCATCAAATGCAAATAAATACTTGAGGATGAATGTGTCTGGGCCTGCCCTGAGGACAGGCAGGTGACAAGTGGCAGTGTGAAGGTATTGACAGGGCTCCCTGTGTCTAGAAGTTTATATACCTGAATGTCTGGTGGCATCTGGAATTCACCCCAGGGAGTTATTCCTGCGGCTGCAGGATTAGTTTCCAGGTCCCTGGGGGAGCCCGGAGATTCTCTGAGAGCTGTGCATCCCACCTACTGCGAGCTCGTGCACCTAGCCGAGAGCTGGACCCCGTGGAGGAGGCGAGAGCTGGCGGAGGAGTTCCACATCACTCCAGTGCAGTTTGCCCGGTCCTGCCTTACGTGTACAGCAGTTCAGCTGCGAACACCTTTGTCCTTAATTCACATTGGTGCTGTAATTAGAATTCATATTTCAAAACTTAAAGTAATAAAACAAATGTAATACCCTTGGCCGTGTCTCTTAATGATCTGTTATTAAAGATAAGCAAAAGTAGGCAAAAGAACTAAAGAGAATTGGATCAATTAAAGGTAGCTGAAGCCAAGCCAAACAAAACCTTAGCCTTGCATATTTCAGGTCTAATTGTTTGCTGACTGACATGGATGTAGCCACACGCAGCTGTCATGTTTCATTTACTTAATAAGTGACTTTTGTAAAGTTTTTAATTTTGATATTGTTTGTCGAATAGAGACACTTGACACATTGTCATACTGTTTTCTTTCTTTTTGTTGTTGTTGTTGTTTTATAGCTCTTTAGGTTAAAAGAACTGATTATTTAAAATGAAGCGTTGCAGGGCCAGCCACATAGCTCAGTGAATTGAAGTGCCAGCAGGCAGGTGAAGGGGCTCAGCGGTTCAATCCCCCAGCTTGCTGTGCTGGCCCCACCCCCAGGGCGCACTGAGACTGTGATAGAGACTGGGCGTGGTGGGGCAGCCTGTAATCCCAGCACTTGGGAGGCTGAACACAGGAGAATCACTATGAGTCTGATCTAGTAGTGAGACCCTGTAGACCCTGCCCTAAAATACAAAAAAAGAAAAAAAAAGCTTTATAAAAACCTTTTCAGTTTTAGGACCTGAATATTTCATTAGGAATTAAAGTGAGTTAGGAAATCTCTAGGTCATTTTGCAGTGTTGTTGCTGGGGTCTCAGTAAAATTAGCAGCACCTCGAACCTAGGCTAACATTTTCTGCTGGAGGACTTCTGTGGAAGACACAGCAAAGCCAACGGGAGAGGCCATAGAAGCGTTTCCGCTCTGTTTTTGCCTGTGGCGGGGGGCTTTGAAAATGCTTTGAGGTCTTCAGTTTTTGAGATGAGTGACTGCAGAAAGAGCAGATGAGATGTACTTTTTCGGGATTACAGGACGCCTTTGAAGACCTGAGGAGCCTCACCCCCACGCCTGCGTGTGTGCACGGCCATCATTTTGCTCATATTTCGTACATCACCTTTTGAAATCTGTCTGTGGATCTGTAGCTTAGAGGAGCCCCCCGTGTGTCTACGTGATACTGCATTTCTGTTTTGATTTTGGCTGTGGGTCAGTTTTTGGCAGTTCATAATAGGAGAAGGAGAAAATGACTGAGATTGAATGTGATACACAGGAATGTTAACTTTCAGCTTTAAAAATATTTGTGCCAAACACATGCAAGTTCCATAGTTCTGAAGTTTTACTTGGACGTGACACCCGGTGGTCTTCTCTTTCTCAGCATTGACAGTGCAGGGTGGCTTGCACTCAGCAATGTGTGCTCTTCAGCCACAGGGTCCTTTAAGTTGAGTATCAAGGTTTGGGGCTATTTCTCATATTTCGTATTTGTCAAATAAACTTATGTATGGCATCAGTAATGTCATAAAAGTAAAATTACTTCCCTGAAATGAATTACAAAATTTGTGCCTATTTTTTAGAATTCAGAATTCAGAATTTTCTATCAAACTCTTTAATATCATTAATTAATAATTATCATAATGGCCTGCTTTTTCTACTCTTGCCCAGTAGATGGTACTGTCAGCCTTACTTTGAAATACTTGATTTTCAGATTTGATCATTAAGAATCTGTTTTTTGTTTAAAGTGTCATTTTCTAAACAGTACAGTTACATTTATAGCGTTCCCATCTCATTACTGCTTACCATTTCCTGAACCAGCGTGTACTGCGGACGTGTCACCTGGGAACTTGTATCGGAATCCATAGTAGGGAGAAGGCAGCCTCTCATTCCTCAACTGTTTCAACTCCTTCAGCTTAGAAAATATTCAGTGACTGTTCATAGAGAATTGTCTAAAGTTCTGTTTGCATCTGGTGGAGACAGTGGTGTTTGATTCTGGGCTAAAAATTTTCTGATTCAGCATTAGAATATCTTTTAATAAAATAAAAATTTAGTTGGCATGCTGACCAAATAGATTTTTTTCTCAGGTTGGAAAATGGAAAGCTTTGCTTAAGTACAGTATATTTGTGTGCTTATCTACATTTTGATGAAAGGCCTAGGAAAGTTTTATTGTCCCTTTGAACTTCGGCTTTTGCACTTACTAATCATCTGTTAAAATTTGAGTCTCTCCTGCCATTATGTTTTATAGAAAGCCAGAAAGAAATCAGAAAACTGTTTGAGTCATCAGCGCATGACTATGAGAATGAACCTTGATGTTTCAGAAAGACCAGGACCCCACACAGAGCTAGCGGTTAGGACTTAAACGTGCGCTGCAGCCAGGTTGTTGTGGAAACATCCTTTGTGTAGAGCTTGCAGTGAGATGAAAGGAAGTTTTCAAAATTAGAAATGAGAATGTCCAGGAAATCAAAACCCCACTCACTTTTCAGGGATAAAATTGTATGTAGCCGGTAGACCATATACCTGGGCAGCAGGCCCAGCCATCTCCAGGGGGCTGTGAGGACTAGATGGGGAAGCAGGAGAGGAAGCGCGCAAGGCAGTGCAGGGAGGGGGAGGTGTCGTCCTGGAGAGGGGGATGCGCGTGGATCACCCATCCTCGTCTTAGAGTGTCAGGAGCCGTTACTTTCTTCCTGACTAGGTGAGCTTGATGAGATCATTTGATTCTTGAGAAAAACATAATTTTTTACATTAATGAATATTTAAATGAGCAATAAAATGAAATAACACCTTAGTAAAAAGTCTATCAGGAAGGACAAGTAAAATTTAAATAAATGGGAGCAATATAGGACTTTGGTAGTGAGCCTGCGGCCACCACCGTGACCATTTATGACTTACTTCCTTTAAACCAAAACTCCAGGGCTCAGGTTAGTTGTAGTGTTGGCCCTTTACGATGGGTGAGTGAGTTTTGGGTGGCAGTTTGGGTGCTTGTCTTTAAAGGTTTGCTGTCACTGGTGTAGGATGTACAGCCTGCCCCAGCTCCAAAGTGAGTAAGGTACAAAGTTCTCCCCACCCATAGAAGGCTTATCCAACACTTAATTTGTTAAAAGCACCTGTCACACCCGGCGCATTGTGAAAAGCCTTTGTGTCAGCCGTGACACAGTTACTGTGCTGAACACTTGCGTAGTTTTGCCTCTCTCTGCTGTGTTGTCCCCAGTTTCGAGTAAATGAGTTTGGAGCCCTGGAAGTTATTACAGATGAGAGTGAGATGGAAAATGTTAAAAAGGCAACTGCTACCACCACGTGGATGGTGCCAACCGCTCAAGAAGGTAAGAAGGAGCCATCAGCATTTCGTTTCTTCCTACTGAAAGATTTGAGATAAGGATATCTGAGGTTTTATAATAGGCTGGATGATTGTTTGAGTCTCATGTTCTTAGGTAAACTTCTGTAATGAAACTGCCAGGAGCCAGCTTTTGTATTTTATAGTAACTATAAACTATCGTCTTTGCTAATGCCAGATCTGTAATTGCACGAGGTTAGTTAAAAATTATTGAGTTGGTCCAAGTCGTAATTGCCTACCCAGGTTAGTTAGCCAAGAGCCTGCCACTTTTTTCTCATCTATCCGATGGTTGTAACTAACACCTATATGCTGATGACTCCTAAATCTGTATCTCCAGCCCCGACCTCTCCCCCGAGCTCCAGGCCCGTATTTCCACCTGCCTACTGGACATCTCCACCCGGATGTCCCACAGGTACCTCAAACTCCACATGTCTGAAATGCAACTCATTTTCTATTTCTTCCTCCCTCCAAACCTGCTCTTTCTTCTGTAACTCACATTTCAGTAGATGGTTGCGCCAGCCCCACAGTGGGCAAGCAAGAATTACAGGAGTCGTCCTGCGTGTGTTCTTCCTACCCCCGTGCCCTGTTACTTAATGCTCTTGGGTTTTTTTTCCTGTGTGTCTCAGATCTGGCCTTTTCTATTGCCCTAGTTTTTAGGCCCTTATTAACTCTCCTGCGAGCCACTGCAGAGGTCTTTTCAGTAATCGCTGCACTTCTCACTTCACCCCCTTCCTCCTTGGTCTCCCCTGAAGTCAGAGGAGCTTGTGTAGACTGCTTATCTGATACTGTGCTGGTTTCTCTTTGCCTCTTTAGCAACACATACCAAGAGCTGGGTGGCCTGCACGTGCTGCTTGCCTTGTCACTTCCCTCTCCGTGCCCACTTTGTATGTTGTGTCCCCACCACGCCAGCAGCACAGGATTGTGTCTGGCCCCCATCTTGTGGTTTCATGCTTTCTTGCCTTACTCATGCCGCTTTTCTCTGGCTAAAGCGCCATTTCTCTCTGTCCATTTGGTGGATTGCTCCTTGACTGTCACAACCCTTGGCTTTGTGTCTGAAAATCCTTCCCTGATCTTCCCCTAAGCCGAAAGAACCACTTCCCCCTTTTGCTCCTGAAACGTGCTCACGCTCCTGTTAGTGCATGCCCCTCAGCTTGTTAGAAGCCTCGGTCTCCTTGCCTGTCTTCTCTTCTAGACTGTGAGCTCTCTCGGCCGAGGTCTCTGCTGTCATTGTCAGTGTCTGGTGTAAATCGGTGCCTCACAAACGTTTGTTGAATGAATGGTTGCTTCAGGTGGAGGATACTGTGAGCTCCTAAATGACTTGGATAATTATGATTCAGGAGATCTGCTACATGAAAAGTAAAACAGATGCTGATTTAGTTAAGCAAAACAAAATTGTTCATCAAAGGGTTATAAATGTGAAGTCCCTTGATGGCCTTTTCAGTTTTATCAAAGATACTCGTAGATTACAATTCTACAGATGGACTATTTTATCCTCTGAGTGTAGTCACTAATGAAGTTTTCTCTATTTTACTTTGAACACTGTAGTTATAGCCTTTCACAAGCTTTTTATATCTTTTCTGCCAGTTGCTTTTTTGCTGTATAAATGGTTAGAGCAATCCAGATTCTATAGCTTAATAATTCATTCAACAAACATTCTCCCTTAGTGTGTTGCTAACCAAATGATTAGAAGAAAAATTTACTAGCATTTTGCAGTGCCTTCTGTCACAGTTTTAACTCCTTTCTCCTTCTTTTGATCTTCTAGTCTTTTCAGAGAAGACTGGAGTACCTTTCCGGTTGAAGGAACCGATGAAAGTAGACGGGCTTCAGTTCTGTGAGAACTGTTGTCAGTACGGCAGCGTAGATGAGTGCCTTCCTGGAGGAGGCTTTTGCAGCCAGAATTGTGCTCGGCATGTCAAAGACAAGTAGGTTTTGCCTTGTTCCATCTGTGAAGTGGGCTGTAGGTTTAGGGTCACTTGCCTGAACATACAGAGGTTTTGTGTCCCCTGATGCCTGGCTCCCCTTCACCCCCCTAACCCCCAAGAGTTCTCTAGAGACGCAGCCCTTGGGGCCTAGTGACCCACGTGGGCCCAGCCTTAGCTGTGTGCTGCCTGCAGCCCACCCCGCCTTAGCCTCAGCCCTGTGTCTCCATGCACCTGGGTGGCCTCTGCTAACAGCATTTAGATTTTTCTGGGCTGCCCGCATTTTGATGATACTCCCACACTTATGAAAGATCAGTGAAAGCTCCGCGCAGGGAACAGAGCTGCCACGGGTGGGCTGTCCGTGGGATGGAACTGGCTGCAGTGGACAGGTGGTGTGTGAGTCGTGTTGGGACGGTCTCGGGTCCAGGCTGGGGTGTGGGTGTGCTGAGCAGCACTTACTTCGCCCCTGCAGACACTCGTTCGCGCCTCAGCTAGGGAGCGCGTTCGTGAGTACTGTTGTGGCCTTTGAGCAGGGACCACACAGCCGCCTTGCGGGGAGCTGCTCGTGTGTTTGAAGCAGCACAACCTTGGGGTTTGTTTCTCTTTCCAAAGTTGTGCTTGGCCTTTCCAGTTGGGTTTGCCTCTCTTAATAATAGATCCTTCCTTTGGTATTGCCCTGAAGCCAAGCATTTTAAAATAATTAATTCTTTTATTAATATAGTTGGCAGAGGCAGTTTATAACAATTATAAACTTGTTAGAACCTATTTCACATGTATTGCTGGGCCCCTTCTGAAATTGACATATGAGATCATTTCCACTTTCTAACCTGACACATGTCCTATGTCATAGTGATTGTAAGTGTTCCCTGTACATGATATTGTAATACTATTGCTTATCTCCTGGAAATGAAGTATTTGTCCTGTGGGGAATGATATTTTAAAAATAACTTATGCATTTGATAATCACCGTGTAGATGTTTGATAGGTGTTGTTTGCTGTCACTGTTTTGGGGTTATAAACACAACAGAGATCAGAAGGAAGAGAGGGACACAGGAGAGGACAACGAGGAAGAGGACCCTAAATGTAGTCGGAAGAAAAAACCGAAGTTATCCCTGAAAGCCGACGCCAAGGAGGATGGTGAAGAGAGAGATGATGAAATGGTGAGTGTCTCTTCTGCAACCCCAGGAAGCATTGGGTGGCTCTAGACTGGGCAGTGTCACTGGCACAGCCAGGACTCTGGGCCAGTTGGTTGTGCTCTCCGGGCTGGCTCTGAAATTGTCACTGGCTGAGTTACTCACCTCTCTGTGCCTCAGGAAAGTTTAAGGCGGAGGATTTGTGATTTATACTTTCGAGTGAGTGCTGTAGCCTTGAGGTATATGAGCAGGAGTAGAACCAGGGAGCCCCGCTAGCCGCTTCTTGTGGTGGGCGGCAGGCAGTGGGCTGGGGTCTGTGGAAGAAGTAGGATTGCCAGGGCTTCTGAGAATCTTAGGTTGTTGAAGCGAACCACTGCCTGGGTAATCCTGTCACTTACTGAGAGTGGGAAGGCAGGGGTAGAGTAGAGCACCCAGAGTCATTTAGCTGCCAGGAGTTGAGACGCTCATCAGCCACCAGATGGAACCCCCGGGAGTCCTCGGATACACACTGCCCCTGGAGGCAAGGGCAGAAGTACAGATTGCAATTGGAAGTGTCCAGCATTGAAACTGGCGTGTAGCCCAAGGCGGGCGACAGGCGGGGAAGAGAAGAGACCAGATGAGCAGAGACACTGGCAGAGAAGCCTAGAAAGGGGGCCATGAGGTCTGAGGAGAAGCATGGCAGAAGGACGAGGAGCTGGGAGAGGGGGGCTAAGGGGAGAGGTGTGGGGGGAGCAGAGTGCGCTTCTTGGAACCCACCTTCTCTGTTTTCTGTGACCTTGGGCCAAAAGCAACACGGCTTGTAAGAGAACTGTATTCTTACTCTCTTTAGAAGTCAGGAAATGAAATTGAAGAAAAGGGTAACAAAGAAGAACGCTTTCTGACAGCAGTCTAACTGTTCATCGGTGCAGTTGCATGAGCTTATGAGCCATCATTTTCCTTCTGTGCCGTAGGAAACCAAACAAGATGGAAGAATCCTGAGGGGCTCGCAGAGAGCCCGGAGGAAAAGGCGTGGGGATTCGGCCGTCCTGAAGCAGGGTGAGCTGATGAGAGAAAGGATTTACTTGGAATCTGATAAACCTGGAATTTAGTTCCTACACTAACAGAAGTTGTAGTCTTTTTTTTTTTCCTTTGACTCAGTTTTATCAGGAAAACCAAGACCTTGGACCATTGATGGTGATATATTCACAGATGGATATGCCAGTGTGAAATCTATTAATTTATATGATTAACATATGGTATAACAGGAAATTTAGGTTTTAGAAAACGCATTTGGCTAAGAAGAAAGAGGACATAGGTGGTCACTTTTCTTCCTGGATGGAATTGTTCCCAGGAAGTCAAAATCCTTTCAAAGGTTGGGAAAATCAAACTGCACACATCTACTGTGTAGGCTGCCTGCATTTCACCCCAGGTATTTGAGCCTCTGGATTAAAGCAGTGACTTGAAGAGCAGAGGCTTTGAGGAAGTAGACGAGGGCAAGTGGAAAGTGGTGACGTAGAAGGGTTTCAGCCCGAGCGTGGGACACCTCTTCTCTGCTTATCTTTCCATCAGGGAGATGGTACTTGTGTACATACCTTGACCAAAGCCTCTGTCCTCACACAGTGTTCAAGGTTTAGGTTCTGCGCTTTCTCAGAAGTACAAGCTTGAGTTGTGCTGCCTGGCTTTCTTGTGGGTTCCGCCTACAGCGTACTGTTCCCTGGGAGATCCCCGCCCTTGGCCTCCTTCCCTTGGGAGTTTGGCTGAGGACCAGTCCCCTCACTCAGGATGGACCTTGGGCGGTTTTCCACAGAGACCTCAGTGTCTTCCATTGTGCTCCAGCCTGTTGGGTTTTTTTGCTTTAGATACTCAGATGTTTTTTTCTTTCTTTCACTGTGTCTCCACTATTGCCTGTGCGGGTGCATCACGTGAATGCTTTCCCCCAACTTGGCCGCTAGTCAAGCTGCCACTCCTTTTCTCATTACCAGGACTTTGTCAGATGAATCCAAAATGAAATTAATATTAACTGCCCCCTTAACACTTAGGCTTTTATGTCTAAAAGTCTGACGCTTGATGCATCAGTGATGTTGTCTGCCTTTGCAGGTTAGTGGCTCTTCCCTAAGCCCTCAGCCTCAGCCACTTCCTCTGGGGGCGGGGGAGTTGTGAGCCTCTTGCTTGTGGGAGCTTTCACGGCCTGGAGGCCTGAGGCACTGTTCTGTTTCGGCTTGCTGCTGGCCTCCTTCCTGTACTGAGTTACTTGCATCTTTCTCTGCCTCTGCCACTGTGGATGTTTGTGGGACTCACTGCCCGGCCCTGGGCTCGCCCCTTGGAAGATGAGGCAGAGAAGAGACTGAGAAATACCAGCCCTGGAAATAGGGGCGGAACCAGGCAGTGAGAGTTATCACGGAGGCCTTTCGTTACTTGTAGATGTGGAAATTCCTTCCTTCAGTCTCACTTGCCTTTCAGGTCTGCCTCCTAAAGGCAAGAAAGCTTGGTGCTGGGCGTCCTTTCTGGAAGAGGAGAAGGCTGTGGCGGTGCCTGCAAAACTCTTTAGGGAGGTAAGGTCCCCTTGATCAGCATGGTGGGTCCACTTCCTGTGTGACTTCAGAGTCATGCCACGCACATGCACACGTGTACATACACACGCGCACGCGCACTGTTTTTCCCCGATGCCTACTAGACTTGCTTTCCTGACTTCAGGTGACAGTACTACTAAAAAATCAGTAAGGCAAAACTGGCATGGAATTTTAGGTCCGCATCATGGCTTTGAGAGAGTGTGTTAGAGATCTCTCTTTTAACAACAACACGTCTGTACATGGGTTAGTATATATATTACATGAGTATAGTAGAAATGTTCTTTCTTGGGTAATTTAAAATCAGTTAAAAGTGGAGGTTATTAGGGATAGTTCAGAATAGGAGCCATTGCCCCCGAATAGAGCAGAGAGCTGTAGACTGTTACGTGCGTACGGCTAGGTAGTAAACAGTCAATCCTTTGCAGGGCTCCGAGGGTCTGTTGGTTCCTCCCAACTGGGTTGTGTAGCGCGAGGGGAACCTTGGTGACATGCGCAGGCATGGGCGTGAGTGTGTCCCGACAGCTTGGTTTGTGGGACTGGTGGCTGCTGGATTAGACTACCTGTAGTCTGCAGACCTTTGGTGCAAGTTACTGTGTTATATTTAATCATGATACGTCATAGATCTGCCATAGGAGTCTTTTATGTGTGAACGACCACAACAGTTTTTAAAAAGTGAGTAGTAAATGAGAGAATGATTATAACTACCTTGACAATATTTAATATAAATGTAATAGCAATAACGTATTCGTTTTCTGTCACCTTAAACCATGACAGATTAGACTTTTTCATACCAACACTAAAGTGAAACTGATTTCTCGCATCAGTGTACATTTATGCGATTCAGAATGAGAAAGAACATGAAAGTGTGGCCCCAGGAGCCCGGCATGTGCCTGGGGGCTGCGCTTCCCCGGAGCGATGGCTGGACCAGTGTCTTTTTTTCCTGCCAGAGACTTACCTGTGTGGGAGCACCTATGGGCGGGCGGGCGGGCGCATAGCCCATCCCGAGCCAGGGCGCTTGCTGGCTTCTGCGTTTTTGTGTCCCTTGGCGGTTTGGGGATTGCTGCACCTCAGTTCTTTAGTCCCTTCATCCTTTACACGAAGGCATGGTTCTTCACGCCCACGTTCACCCCGGGCTGTCTGGGCTGCTCCTTCTCGAGCCTTTTGCTCTCCTTGCTGTGGACCCTCTCAGCACTGGCACACCTGTGAGCACCTCTGCTGGCCCGTTTCTTAGGACACTCGGCTTCTCAGAGCTGCTGTGGGGCAGCCGGAGCGGACTGCGCTTCAGCCCCAGCAGTGATGCATGTGGCTTGTCGGCTGTCCTAGTGCTGCAGCAATGTTGCGTGTTAGCAAGTCTATAGATCTTCACTCATCTGATAGGTACCTAATGTGGGTTTGGGCTTAATTTACTTGGTGCGACGTTGATGGATGAGTATCTCTACAAGTAGGTAAGACAAAGGCTCCAAGATGTTAGGTTTCCACGTGGCGACTTGTTTATAACCTTGTCCATTTTTCATCAGTCCTTTTGGAATTTTAGGAGTAATTTGTGTATTTACTTAGTCGTTGAGAATGGTAATTATTCACATTTCTAACGGGCCCCAGGGCCGGAGTGAAGCTGCGGTCGCTCTCTGTTGCAGCACCAGTCGTTCCCCTACAACAAGAATGGATTCAAGGTCGGCATGAAGCTGGAAGGCGTGGACCCTGAACATCAGTCTGTGTACTGCGTGCTCACCGTGGCCGAGGTAGGCTTTGCCTCTCTTTCATCTTAAAAGAAAATGGTGGTCATCGGTTTATTTCATTTGTGGTACTAAGGACTGTGCTTCTTCCTCAGCCTTTTGTCAGTTTTTATTTTGACTCCGGGTGTTGTCCAGGCTGCCACTGAATTTGCAGTCCTGCTGCCTCAGCCTCCAGCATAGCTGGGTTGCAGGAATGTGCCGCCATGCCGGGCTTTGAGGGGCGTTAGTAATGAGAATATCATGGGTCGAGTGCTTCCTTAGTGCCTGTGTACGTCAGCTCACCTGATCTGCCTCACGATTCTACCCAGTGCAGGTCAGGGGTTTTTGTACCCATTCTATAGAAGAGGGAACTGAGGCCCAGAGGGATGAAGTAATGTATGCAAAGCCACACAGCCTCAAGACATTGTAGAATCTGGGTTTGAATCCAGGTCTGTCTGACACCATGGACTTTACTATGTTCCTTAACATAAGGAAGAGGGTGACAGATAACTTATTTTCTTTAGCATTTTGAGAGTGTCTCTGAAAATTTCAGGCACTGTTAGTCAGATACACATACCTGTAGCCATAGAGTAGGACTCCAGGGTACTCCTGAGAACACAGCCTTTTCTAAGTTTTCCTGCTGTGCTGGCCTTCCTGCTCTTTCTCTTGAGCCAGCAGTGTGCATCTTAAAAATTACCCACAATGGAACCTGATGGTCTGGGATCTGGGCACTAGTGGGCCTCCTGGAGTTCTTTCCCCGGCTGCTGCAGGACTCAGCCCTGCGATGGCTGGTGGCTGGCAGCTGGCTCTGAAGATCACAGTGACCGATGGCCGTGGTCAGAGCAGAAAGCCTCCCGTCCCCGAGCTCAAATTCATTTTTTTTTTTTTTTAATTTTAATTTTCCTTTCTTTTTTTTTTTGTCCTGTCAGAGGTGAATATTCTATTGGCATCTAAATACTTTGGGGTCCGATTCAACTAAACATCTAATACTGTCTAGCAGTCTATAATATTAGTGGGTTATCCTCAGAAGTTACTGACTTGAGCCTTTTACAGCTCATCGTATTAATACGGATTTACTTTATATACCTCGTTTTTATACTTTTCTGCTGGATGGTTAAGACCAAGATATAGCAAGACCTATATACCAAGGAATGTAACTTTTGTGTCTGATAAAGTCAGCCAAGTACTCTCAGGATTTGTCCTGTAGCCCTGCACCGCCCTTTGTACATTCTTTGTAAGTGCCTGATATGAGGATGAGTCACGGCCATTGCTTGACCAATTTGCTCTCCTTGAAAGCTTGAGAAAATGTTTTTTCTCTCCATGTGACTCTCCCCAGGCTCACTTTAGATCATTGAACACATTTCTCCGTGGCTCCATAATCTTCTTGATCAGAAATCAAATTCATTCTTGAAACAGCAGGCTTTTGAGACAGAACAGGCTCTTCACCTTTCACATGAGAAAACCGAGGCCCTCTTGCTGTGCTAGGCAATGAAAGGGAAGGCCGAACGTTCTTACTCCCACTCCGAAAGTGAGTGAGACACTTCGCAGCCTTGCTGGCGTGTGTGAGAGTCCTGCGGCTCTCGACGGTGTGTGGACCTTGTGTGTCTTTTCCCTCCTGCGCTGTGCGCTGGAGTTGGCTGGAACACCAGGTTTCTTGGTGGGTTTGTCCTGTGAAGAGGGTGAGACTCCCAGGGAGGGACAAGGTGTGCCTAAGCGCGGGGACTGCAGAGCAGCGGGAGAGAGAAGGGCTGTGGCCACACTGGAAGGCAGGGGCAGCGCTGAGCAAAAGCGGGCGGAAGGGCAACGTCCAGGGCCTGTGTGCAGAAGGCGGGTCCAGTTAAGCAGAGACTGCTGTTGAGAAGTTAGTGCTAGAGCGAGAAGGGGCTGCTAACGCACTTGGCTTCTGAGGGATGTTTCCTCTGTCCAGGTTTATAGTATAGAAGTTAGGTTTCTGATTGTGAAAACTTAATCTAGTTAAAAGTGCTAGCATCTGTCCAAAGCCCTGCTTCCCTATGTAGCGTAATACCCAGAGTGATTTGCTGTGCCCCTCCCGGTGTCGTCTGTTCTGTGAAATACATGTGTGGATTTTTTTTTTAGACCTGAATGATAGATTACATGATATTCTGCAGCTTTTGTGACATGTGGTGTGATTGAGAACTGTAATGAGTATTTAAATTTAAAAACTTGAGTAAAAACATAATGCCATGGAGCTGGGAAGGTAGCTCGGTGGTCTGAGCGCCTGCCCAGCAAGTGCAGGTACCCAGGTTCAATCTCCAGGACCGCATGCTGCGCCAGCCACTGAAACCAGACATGGTGGTGTATACCTGTAATCCCAGCGCTGGGGAGGCTGAGACAGGAGAATCAGTATGAGTCCAAGGTACATAGCGAGACCCTGTACCAGATTAAAAAAATAAATAAATAACTAAAAGATTCAAACAAACTAACACTGCTGCCATAATCTCCCTTAAGATACTCCAAACACAATTATCCTGTCATTCTTGGCACTTTTTGAGCCAGTCCTGGAAGGCCCCTTTCATGTCTTTAGTGGTACTCTTGTAGCTGCCTCAGTATCCTGAGCCAGTCCAGAGTGATTGTTTTCCTGGTCCTTCTGACGGGGGAGGAGCCCGAAGTCACAGGGTGAAGACCCAGGTCAGGTGGTTGAGGACATGGTGTCTTGTGAGCCTGCCTTTCTGTTTGGATGGCAGTTGGCTGTGTTAGTCCTCATAGAGACGCACAGAGGAGGACTTCCACAGCTGCTTCAGAAAGTAGCAGGTATGATGGGATCAGTGAATTCACCGTGAGAGGGCAAGGCTGGGGATTTGGCTGAGTGGCCCAGCACCTGCCTGGCGAGCGCAGGGTCCTGAGTTTGAGTCCCATACCAAAAAAAGAAAAAAGGAAGAGAAAGTGAGAGAGGAGGATTCGTAGCTATGTCTCTTGCTGTAAGGAACTTTTCAGCATAGACATTCACTCTATTTTGGTCACACCTTGTACCTTGGATATCTTTAATACTGTTGCTCATTGGGTAGCGCTCCATTTCATGGGATTGTTTTCATTCACTTAACTGTTGTCATGTGGAGAATAACTTTTTTTTCTTATTCACAAAAGTATTCAAGTGAGTATTTTCTTTGTCTGTTTTTGCTTGTGTAAGTTCATGTACTCCAAGCTTAGAGCTGCCAAGTGGAAAGTGGCCTTTAAACTTCTGCTGTGTGTGGCTATAAGTTGACCTACATATGTGTCAGTTGTTATTTTCTCTCTAGAGATGCACGAACATTTGTTTCCTTAAGATTGAGAGATGTTCTTTTTTATTTTTATTTTTCCTCCTTCCTGCCCTCTTCTCTCCCTCTTTTCCCTCTTTTTCTCTCTTCCCAATGAGAAGAAACCATAAAGCATTTGAATTTTTAAGAAGCCGCGAGAGGGCTGAATAGTAGGCATGGAGCGAGCGGAGGTGGAGGGCGTGGGCAGAGCGTCCAGGCACATCAGGAGGTCGAAGTTTTAGCCAGGAGGACCGAGGAGGAAGTGGTGTCCTGAGCTCAGCCAGGAGCTGAAGGGAGGCATAGGGAGGAATGAGCTCGGGAAGGCGCCGACTGCAGGAGTCCCAGAGGTTTTGTAGGACGGAGACCACAGGGGCTGCGGGGCAGAGCACCCTGCCAGAGAGACTGAGCTTCCCCGGGGATCCAGGCTCAGCTCTGTTGCAAATTACATATATTCAGTAGGACAGCTAGTATCTTTTAATTGAAAAAGTACTGCTGTATAAAAAAGATGCCCTTGCCTTCTCACTCCCATTTGCCAAAAGAAATCATTGTTAATGGTTCAGCAAATACAGAGTCTGCCAAAAATATATATACGCACTTCAGAGTTTCTTTTCCTGAAGTGTGTATACATTCCTGTTGGCAGACTCTGTATTCTTGAAGATTTTATTGTGAATTTACATATGCACAGATGCATGTGTTAGCGTGTATGTAAATATGCGCACAAATGGGTTTACTTTCTGTACACACTACACTCCTTGATGACACTACCCCGTCTACAGCAGCACACACATTGACTCCCACATTTATAATCTTTTCCTAAGATGACTCATCCTGCATAATTGGCTCTGTCATTTGAGTTCTAACAGTATGTGGCAGAGTTCTTTCCACTACAGTAACTGTACAGTGACCTCGTTATCTGAGGGTGAATGCTCTGCCTGCACTCATGTGCCTTTCTTGTGTAAGATTCCGGAGTACAGGTATTCCCCAAGTGGACGGAGGTCTGGGGCGTGGGTGGCTGCTGGTGACACAATCTGCTTTTGCTCTAGGAAGGACGCAGAGGGGACAGAATTTCTCTCAGCTCAGGATAGAGCGCGAGCCAGCTGAGGTGCTGGAACCCCAGCGTGTCCCCAGCTGGGGCTCTGGAGATAGCTGCAGGGACTGTGTTGTAGAAAGCAGGTTCTGCTTGGGCTGTAGGGAGCCTGTCTGCCCTACTAGGAGCTGGGTGTGGCTCTTCTGGTTTCCCAACCCCCTGGAGGAGAACCGAGTGATGGCTCCATTTCTGCAGCAGCCTGGGCTTGTGGCAGTCAGCTCTGGGCCCAGCAGGCGCTGGTCCTGTACCTTGTTCAGTGGCTTCCCCGCCAGCTGGCCATAGGGGCTTGTGTTTCCAGAAGTTAGCAGTTAGAGAGAGGGTGAGTGCTGAGGGAGCGTGGTTCTTCACCCCGTCTCTGTGCTCCGAGTGGTCCTTGAGGTGTTTCCAGAGCACTGCAGCTTAGCTCCTTGCAGAGCTGCTTTTCGGTGGTGTCATTTGCGGTGGTTGCTTTCGTTGCTGTTAGTGGGGTGGTCTGATGAGCGCAGGGCGCGTGGACCTGAAGCCTGGGCTCTTTCTGTTGGTGTGGGCAACTGTCACGACTTCTTTGGATGTCTCACCCTGCCTCCTTGTTCCAGGTTTGTGGGTACCGAATAAAGCTGCACTTCGATGGGTACTCCGACTGCTATGACTTCTGGGTAAATGCGGACGCGCTGGACATCCACCCTGTGGGCTGGTGCGAGAAAACCGGCCACAAGCTCCATCCTCCGAAAGGTGTGGTCGCTTTCTGCCTCCTAGTTGGGGATCATTAAAATTTTTTCTGATGTGCTACTTTAGAATTTTTAAGAAATAAGACTTAATGGTATCTCATATAGGTCCTAATTCAGGCTTATTATACATGATGAAAATACATTTATTAAAGTGAAAGAAATGTGTAATCTACCATAAGAGAGTAAATGATACATTAATTTACATGTAAAGTAATTTGCATGGTAATTATAATTAAGTTTGACTATACATAATTTTATCTCCAAATTTTTATTATTTCATATACATATATTGTTGAAAAAAATCGACATAAAAAGTAGTTTTAGCTACATCGTGTAATTTTTATTTACTCCCATATCTTTGTATAGAAAATCCTGTGAAATTATGTTTTCAACATACAGATCATAATACTTAGGAAACTGAAAATGAGACTGTGACGCTGAAAACTGGGTTTGGTGGGAGTTGAGCTAATAATCACTTTCATTTGTTTATTGGTATTTGATTTTGTGTTGCTGGGGATCCCATCCAGAGCTTCCATGTGCTGGGCAAGTGCGGTACCTCTGTGCTGCACCCCAGACCAGGGATTTTACTTGTTTCACATTTATATAAAATTCCAAGAAGAAATAGACGCTGCGTTTTTAGTCCATCATCAGTGTCGCATTTCCTTCTTCGACTGTTGTATTCATTATTGTTTACCTGATGTCAAAGGTTCAAGCTAGTAGTTTGATCTTTTTTGTCCCATTTCAGGGCTTTAAAAAATTTTCTTGCCATTGCTGGCGCTTGAACCCAGGGCCTGGCATATGCTAAGTAAGCTGTCTCCCTGTAATAGAGTTTTATCTGCAGTCCTAAGGGATTTTTTTTAATGTCTTTTTGAGACAGGGTTTCACCGTGCAGTTGGGGCTGAGCTTGAGTTCGCCTTGTAGCCTCGGCTGGCCTCCAGCTCCGGGTGGTCCTCTATCCTCAGCTTCCGAGGTGCCAGGATTGCAGGCAGGTGTGCACCGCCGTGCGCAGAATGTATTGGCTTTTCATGGACTGACTGTCCTTGCTTTTAAGCAAAAGATGAACATCAGAACAGTATTTTCAGATAGTAAAAGGATTAAGCAAAATCCAGAGAAGGTGATGGTGAAAAGAAAATTTGTAAGCCCTTTTATAAATTAGCTTCTTGCATATGGTGCATCACAGGCTGATCTTTTCATCTACCTGCTGCACTTTAATGAAGGAAAAAAGAGCTTGTAGCAGAAAAGGAAAACGCTGCATTTGCTTCTGTAAAGAAACGTTGACTTTAATGGAATTGTGAAATTAAGGCAATGGACTTCTCTCTTACAATTTGCAAATCTTCAAAAACTTTGAATTGTCATTTAAACTGAAAAGACTTACCTGCTTTTTTTTTTTCAAGTTCTTATTTATTTATTCCTATCCCAAAATGGACTAGAGCAGGAAAATCTTGACTGACTGAGCTCACTAGCATGGACTGCTGAGAAATTGTAACTATATACTGATGGAGGTAGCTGGATGGAAAGTATACTCTTTACTGTAAAAAGTGTTTCTTTACTGTTTTTTTTTTTAATCCTGTCTATCACTGTTCACTTAGAAATGAAAAGGTAGTAAAAAAAAAAACCATAGTCTATATCTAAAAATGCATAGCTACAAATTATGAGTTCAACTTTGTAAACCCAAAAAATATGGCTGATTTTATCATGTGGGAGTTAGCAGTAAAGGTGAGGTTGGGAAAATAAGTGTGAAATATTTGAGTCTTTTTTATTCATGTGTGTTTATGCTAGGCTATAAAGAAGAAGAATTTAATTGGCAGACCTATCTTAAGACATGCAAAGCCCAAGCAGCCCCGAAGTCATTATTTGAAAATCAGAATATAGTAAGTACATACAATTTTTTCTTTTCAAAGGAAGTAATTTTTGAGCATGTCATGGGATAAGTGATAAGTGAGAATAAGGAGCCACAATCTTGTCTTCGTTGAACTTCAAAATTAGCTTGAAATCTATTTGAGTAAATATTTTATGGATCTATTGCTTATTGAACGGTAGAAAGCAACTTAGTACAAAATCCAAGTGTGCTTTATAATTAAGATGCCTAAAGATGAAATGACTGGAATCTTACCGTTAGCATCTTTTAATTAGGATTGTTGCTGAGGTGGGGCTCGTGCAGGAGGGCAAACGTGCCTGCGCGCCTCCATGTGCGAGCCGTCATGCTCCACCACAGCAGCTATGGCGGTACCTGTCATGTCCATCAGCAGAGCGTGGGGGGGTATCCTCCTGCTTCTTGACATGTATTCCCATTTGCCATTCCATGTTCCTCTGTTGCCGTATCTGACAGGATGTGATAGTTTTCCAGGTTCGGATCTGACTGCAAAGAGTAGGGACAGTGAAGTAGAAAAGCAAAAGTATCGTCTTTACTCCTGATAGCGACTGGCTGGGGAGATGTGCATGTCTTGTCTCTTGAAGACAGGTGAGCTTCTCATTTCTGAGCCCCACAGTGAGAAGGATCTGCCCCTCCCCAAGGCCAGAGAGCACGGGCCCTCGCGCAGCCGAGCCGGGGCTGTGCCGCTGCCCCCAGTCTTGCCTTCGAGGGTCTGACTGTTCCTGCTTCCCAGGTTTGCCTGCCAGGGAACAGCGAGCGATGGGGTGCGGTGGGGAGGCAGTGATGTTTCACGAGCAGCGCTCCTTCCCGCCAAGTAGAAATACATTCCAGGAGTGGGGAAAACCCTCCTTCTGGGAGATGATAGTAATGAGTTGGTGTGAGAATATTGGGCTAAGGGCCGAAGTAGTCTCTGATTGAATTGAATGTAAGCCAGGTTGATTGAGTTAGAGAACCAAGGACAGGGGTGGGCGTAGTGCAGTAGCAGTGAGCCAGGTTGTTATCTTATAGTATCTTAAGTAAGAGCTGGAGTGCTCGCTGAGATGTAAACGCTAGCCCGGCAAGACTAACCCCCTGCAAAGAAGGTGGACAGGTGGAAAGTCGTGCAGCGGCCTGCTGTATCCGCTGCGGGCTTCCTGATCCCTGTCTGTGTCTCTCTTGATGATTCAGGGATTTCATTAACCACCCTGCGCTGTCCCTGTCCCCTTTCATTCTGGGTACTGCTAATATGCACTACAACCTCAGGCTCTGTGCTTGGAATCTAAGTAACTCATTTTTCTTTTACTGGATCATCTACCTGCAAATAGTCAAATATTTATGGTTCTAACTGATAAATAATTTCAGGGCTTAGCTGTATGATGAAAATTTCTGTGTATTATTTATGGTTACTTCTTCAACTCACACAGGGCTTATTCTAATATTTTTCAGATATATAACTTCATTTTTACAACAATAACTATACATTTGTGTAGTTACAGTAAAATGAGAATGACATTTATTTTGCTTAAAGTACTTAGAATAATTCTCATATACTTCAGTCTGTACAGAAGGGCTTTTGGTTATTTTTTAAGAAAGGTAGAAATGGCTCAGAATGTATGGAGAATGTATTGTGATTGACATAATTCACATCCAGATATCTTACTCTGAGATTAAGATATTCTTCACAAAAGTGTATAAGGAATGCTTATGGGTTACTGTCCCTTGAGCAGCAGCTCACTGAACTTTTGTTGGTTTCCTTTTAAGTCCTAGATGGCTGATTTTCCTGCCATTCTAAAGGGCTATATAGATTAATAGCCAGTTTACTTGCTGCTATAATTAATAAAAAGTATCTGTAAGGGCCGGCCAGATAGCTCAGTGGATTAAAGTGCCTGCTTAGGTAGACACAGGAGCCTGTGTTCGATCCCTGGGCCGGCCCCACCCCTGGGGTGTGCTGAGATTGAGATTGAGACTGGATGTGGTGGTGCATGCCTGTAATCCCAGCACTTGAGAAGCTGTAAACAGGAGCATCACTGTGAGTCCCATCTATCTAGTGAGACCCTGAACATCCTGTACTAGTAATTAAAAAAAAAGTATCTGTAGTGTTAAGTAAATCTTGTAGTAATATGCAGCCTTTCATATATTAAGATGACCTGCTTTCTGTAGAGTAAGTACTCTTGAGCAATCTAAAAGTGGCCGTGAATTTGTACTGGCTCCTGGTGCACATTTTTAACTTAATTAAGTACATATCTTCTGCGAAGTAATTTTCATTGTTAAACCTATAATCAAGGAAGAAAGGCCAAAATGTGAACTATGTGGTGAATAAAACCTGCTAGTGAAGTTTTTCTAACTCATTTTTATACATGCGTGTTACAGCTGTCTTAATTGCTGCAGGGTTGGAGTGTTGTAGTTTTGAGACTCATATAGTTAATTGGGTGTAGCTATAGAGCATTTTTTACATTTTGGGTTTCTTTTTTTATTAGTGCTGGTTGGAAAGCCAGCCTGTGAAACTAGCACATGATTTTGAAATTATGCGAATACTGGAATGGATATGCGAATACTGGAATGGATAGCCGGGCTGGGAGTGGGAGGTGCCAACTCACAGGTCTTCGTGCTGTTGAGTGTGTGCTTATCTCTAATTAAATCTGTATTTTTCTGTAGACGGTGATCCCATCAGGCTTTCGAGTTGGAATGAAGCTTGAAGCTGTAGACAAAAAGAATCCTGCATTCATCTGCGTTGCTACGGTAACAGATATGGTGGACAATCGTTTCCTGGTGCATTTTGACAACTGGGATGAGAGCTATGACTATTGGTGAGACATTTTCCGTGAATGCTTTTTAACATTTAATATGTTGTACCTAGGTAAACAGTTTAAAAACAGTAACAGTGCAAAGCTTGCAACAAAAAATAGCAGTGTCCTGCCCCACTTTTTCTTGTTTCAGAGTTTTAAATTTTAACGTGTTCCACATGAGTTGTATTTGTAAGTAACATCGTTTAGTGCTGCCCCCTGATGTGTATCTTCCTTGTCTTTGTCCTGTGGAAGTGGCGTTCAGCCCCGTGCTCCCAGCATGCATTCGCAGGCCTGTGCGGTGACCCACTCCGCCCCGCAGCGGGGGCGGTGGCTCCTGTCACTCGCTAGGAACTTGTATGAGTCTCCCTTCACATTTTCCTGTGCAGTAGCTAATTTAGTCATTTGTGGTAGCTGAACATCAATATATTAATTGAGAAATGATCTTTTTATTCTTACCAATTTAGATACACTGTGTAAGGCAGTAAGAGAAAATTATTTAATTATAGAGTAGCTGTGATGAAGCCATCTTACTGTGATTAAATAATTGAACCAAGGATTATCCATACTTAACGCAGGTTCAGTCATCTCTAGAATGTGGTTTTCTGATGAACGACATTTGTAAACAGTTTAGTTCCATGTAGATAATACTTGAAATGAGATTATTTTAGAGAAGGCCCAGTCATATTTTTTAAAATATGACTGTTACAGTATCAAGAAAATATTGATTTATGTAAATACAGTTCACTTTCTGGAAAGAAATGTTTTTAGTATGCGTAAGTGTAGCTATTCTATAGATGTGTCAGTAATTTACTTCCTCAAACTGATTAGATGCTCATCAGTTTTATTTCCATTTTTTTAAGGCATTGGATTGAAATCCATTTGCTATTCACACACTATATATTTCCTATATGGTCATAGAATTTTTTTTAAAGGATAGGTAAATCATTTCATGATTATAGTACTTAGTTAACCAAGTTTTCTAAAATGTTTTTGGTTTTTCTAGCTTTTTTATGTAAGGCATTGTTTTTGTTTCCAAGATATCTTCATATTTAATTTGTGTTAAAAATTTTTTTATTGAATGATTGGCAACTGAGAATTAGCAGTAAAGTGGTTGTCTGTGCCCTTTATTTAGCATTAACCATTATTAGTTTCTTTATAGATTATCTGTTCTGTGTTTCCTCTCTTAAAATTTATTCTTTTTTTTTTTTGTGGTACTGGGGATTGAACTCGGGACCTTGCACTTGCCAGGCAAGCACTATCTCCCTGGCCCAGAATTTAATTCAAAGATTGTTTTGAATCCAACTCCAGAAAACACAGCATTTCATGGCTGATGACTCAATTTCTATCTTTTTAAAAATATGAATTGTTTTTCTTTGCCTAAGTATTGTGACAACATCACTAACATGTTTACCACTATTTCTTCCAGTTATGTTAGTGGTTGCATTTTTTTAAAAAGATTTTTTTAGTCCCAGTAAGTTACATGCTTTGTGATTGCTTCGAGTCTTTCCCCTCTCCCACTGCGTGGATCCCCATTCCCATTTCTCCTTCTGCGTGTGCCCTCTAGTGCAGAGGCTGGGTGGTGGGTAAGCCCCATCTCTTACACTCTGGATTTGCTCCCTGAATCCTCTTAGGCCACAGTTTCCCATTCCTTAAGTTTGCTCTGTAAATTGATGCTTTTGTCTGGGTACTGGGGCTCGAAAT